CCGTACCTTGCCAAGAATTGTTATCAAAAGTTACTACGCATGTCTGCATTCCTTCACTTGCTTCACACACTCTTTCCTTTGTTCTCTTTCCAGAAAGGTCCGGCTGAGAAATAGCCGGCAAGATTTACTTTCAAAATGTAGCAATTACTTTTCTTAGTTAGTGAGGTGTTTTATTTTCTTTATAACAAATAAATGAGTTTTATTAGAGAACTTTCCTTCGCGTTTCTTTTTCAGAATATTGCAACGTGGAATAAGCCACGATCCATCCTCTAATTAAACCAGGGTGATTTGTCCCAGAGCCAAGCATGGGATTAATCAATGCCCTGACATCAACCAGTCCTTGCATTTATAACAGTTGCAGAATCCCCACAGTCACCTGTTCAAAATTCAGGTGTTTGGCAACTGGCGTGTATTTACAACAGCTGCAGCATCTCAGGATGATTTGATCACAATTTGTGATCTTCTCAGCTAACTTCTGACAAATACAGCCATTGGATGAATTTGGATTTGCTTAATAGCAATAGCACTTAGACTTATATATCGCTTCCCAGTGCTTTACAGCCCTCTCTGAGCGGTTTACAGAGTCAACCTATTGCCCCAACAATCTGGGTCTTCAGTTTACTGACCTCGGAAGGATGGAAGGCTGAATCAATCTTGAGCTGGAGAGAATCAAACTTCTGGCGGTGGGCAGAATTAGCCTGCAATACTGCATTCTAACCACTGTGCCACTACAGCTCCTAATAACCTAGTGATTCATTTAACAGCTACAATCATTCTCTTTACAATTGTGGCCAAAAAAAAAAAAAAGTCATAAAATCCAGTGTGACTCATTTAACAGCCACCTTCCTTAGCAATAGAAATTCTGGTCCTGATTGTGATCGTACATCGAAGTCTACCTGCATATACAAATTGCAATTTTAAAGTTAGTTGCACATTATTACAAAAATGTGTGTAGGTGGGAAATGACTATGACAAATTTGATGCGTTTCCAAGACAAACTGCTTTTCCTCTCAGCAAGATGCCTCTGATGGGAAGAAGTCATTAGATTCATAACAACTGTGAGAGGGGGTTTTTTTTTGGTACTGCCAAACACATTGCTGAATATTTTCCACGAACATCATGGAACTCTGCATATTCCAAATGCACATTAATATATTTTGCCCATTAGTTTGTAATTAGGTGCAGTTATATGTGCTGATTATAAGCAATGGGTGATAAAGCATTCCAGGCAGAGAGTGAAGTGGCTGCCAGCAATGAGACAGCATATTTTAACTTTTTATTATGTGTAGCACAAAACCAAAGCTGCCTGATATAGGAAAAAAAACCCTGCAAAAATGCTTCTTCTCTGCCAGTCCCTAGTAGATTAACAACCTTTACTTTTCTTATGACACTGCTTCTGGGAAGAGTTTCTTACTAATTTTAAAATGGCAAAAGTTCAGAAGGAAAACAGTTGTCATCTACATAGTCAAACGTTTCAGAGGATATAAATCTGTTTAAAAATTCTCTACCCATAAGGGCTGGCAGCTTTATTTCTAGCTGAAAATACTTGTAATCTTAAAAGCCTTGTTAAGAGGATATTTTTCAGCAGAAGGGGGCAAGTATGAAATGTCATGAGCAATCATATTCCTCAATAATATTGGGAAGGGAAGTATGATTGCTGCTGCTAAGCTGTAATGTTTGCACGGAACGGCAGTTTTAAGTTGGAAGAAGGTGAGAGCAATAGAAGCCATTCAGGCAGAGGACTTGAAAACGAAATAGTGATTTAGCTTGGAACTTAGCTGGGAGAGCTCTACTTTACTTTTACTCTCCTATTTGGTAAACCTTTAAACAGTTCACTTAGTGACCACAAAGTAACAACAGCACTGAAAAAAGTGACTTATGACCGGTTTTCACACTTTTGTTGCATCATCTCCATGGTCATCTGATCAAAATTAAAATGCATGGTCTATAGACAGATAGTCCTTGGTTTATCGATCATAACTGAGCCCAAAATTTACATTGCTAAGTGAAATATTTGTTGAGTGAGCTTTGCCCCATTTTACGATCTTTCTTGCCACAGTTGTTAAGTGAATCACTGCAGCTATTAGGTTAGTATCACGGCTGTTAAGTGAATCTGGTTTCCCTGTTGAGTTTGTTTGTCAGCAAGTTGCAAAACGGGATCACATGATCCTGGGATACTGCAACTGCCATAAATATGAGTCAGTTGTCAGGCGTTTTAATTTTGATCACATGATCATGGAGATGACGCAACATTCGTTAAGCGTGAAAACCGGTCATATGTCACTTTTTTCAGTGCTGTTGTTACTTTGAACGGTCACTAAGTGAACTGCTGTAAGTCGAGGACTATGTGTATATACTTTAAATTTCTTTTTATGATTGTTCTACCTACTCCTAAAATCTCAGAATGCCATATTTAGGAGGAGTCCAGTAACAGCTTTTCTATCAAATGTTATCAAGAGGCACAAGTGCATGGAATGACTAAACTGTGCAGATGGTGCCTGAAGGAAGGTGATTGTGAAGGTACAGGTTATATACGAGACAGAATGAGATCTTCTGAGAGAATTTGAAATCTGTTAACATGTGTGAATTCAGCAATCTTTCAATTATATTCGCCAAGTGTCTGTCTTCTTTTGATCTTTTCCCTCCAGAAATGGCTATTTTGAAATCTCTAAGATTGACATCAAAACTCAAAATAACAAATAGCTACTTGGAAAAAAGAAAAAGCCACACATATCAAGTCATCTGCCTATACAAATATGATCGTTCATGAACAATTAACATGAAACATGATTATCTTTTTTGAAGCTGTTATGCAAAATCTTCATACATATCAATTTACCTTGATACAGTTGCATTGCTTTTTTCTTCCTATGTTTTAATATTTTTCTATGTTCTACGTACACAAACACATATTCTTTTATTCAGAATAAGATGCCGGCAAGTTCTATAAGAAGTCATCTTGCAAGGTTATCTGAAATGAGTTTGAGCCTGTTTACCTAATTAAGTAAACAAGACTCTGAAACCATCTATGTTTTGTATTCCTGCCTCACCTGATTAGTGAATTATTTCAGGGTTGTAACAGGCGGGCTGAGTCAGGCTAGTACAGTGGATCCTTGGGAGTAGCAGTGGTGAATCTTCCTTTGAGGAGAGTGATAGTATTCTCTTTCCTCAAAGCCATATTGCTGTTCCAACTGGGGGGAGTTGACTTCTAGAGTTCTCCACTGTTTGTTGTGGGTGCAACAAACCTCATTATGTTTACCATAATGATTTCATCTCATTTCCTGTTATGATCTGACTCAAGTTTAGTACCAGCAGGACATACAGTACCGGCTCTGGGTACAGGATCCAATTAAATCCATTAAGTTTCCATCTTTGTTTCTGGCCAGGACAGAACTCCAGCATGCAAAATTGACTCATAATCTAGAAATATAGTTATATTCACAGTTCCTGCTCAAAGAACAGATGGCGACCAAGAGGTTTTTACCCACTTCCAGCTTGTCTCCCTTTTATGGCAATTTCTGGGTCAGTAAGCTATGCTAAGGGGCTTTGTCACCATGTCTTTTATTATTGAAATGTACACTACCTTGGGCTGCATTTGGAGATCACAAGCTTCAGCTGGTCTACAATGTAATAACTTAAGTAACTTGATTTATCTATGCTGCTACACCTAAAATTTAGAGAGCTGCATTGTTTGCTATTCAATTACTGGCCACATTTCAAAATGCTAGATATCACTTTTAAAGTCACATATGACTCAGGAGCTGGCTATCTATGAGACTATCTAATCCAGGGCTGTCAAACTCGTGGCCCACAGACCAGATGCATCATGCACTGGCCACGCCCACGCCTGGTTTAGCAAAGGGGAAAAAAGTCATGATACATCATGTAGTGCCACCGTGACAATGCGACTTTGACACCCCTGACCTAATCCAAGTATCAAACTCCCCCAAAAATGATTGCTCAGGGTGTCAATCTCTAGGGACCATTGTGATTGGGGAATACAGGGGCAGATCTTCTCTGTCACTGCTCCCCTTCTCAAGAGATTAGAGCCCTACCCTTGCTATGGTTCTTAAGGGCCATTAGGATCCAGTGCTTCTAAAGCATCTCTGAGAGTCTGATATGGATATTTGTCCTTGAGGAAAGGACAGTTTTGACTGTCCCATAGTGGCTATTTTATGATTTTAATAATTTTGCTGGACATTGGGAGTTTAAGTGGTTCTGAGTCCTTTATGACAGGAGAAACATGTAAGTCTCAGCAAATAAATAACTCACCCAATATCTAGTTTCAAACTAATTGAGAATTTGCTTTGGTACCAGTGAAGGAGATACAGAAGGATGTTAGAGATAGAAAGAAAAGGTTTGTACATTATTTAACTGAACAGCACAGATCACAGCAACAAATTATCCTAATGTGAAAATTATCCTAACGTTCTTTTTAGGTATCCAGTTGTGTCCAAATCTGCAGCAAAATGATTACAGATGCTTATCTTAAATATAAATGTTCACAAACAATCATAGTATAAATTTTACATACAAAAATAATGTAAATACTATTTATGCCAACATGTGTGGCTTGCCTTTTATTTTCACTGTAATTATATGTTAAGCACAAATCATTACTGGACACTGTGGAAGTACAGAAAAGTACTGTAATATTGTAGCATTTTTGCCTGCTGATCCACCAAATGAGATATGTTGCATTCAGATATACAGAACTCTTTCCCAATGCCTTGGATTTTGCTTTTTTCTCTCTCTCTTCTCCAGAGCAATGCCTTATTGACAATCAACAGGAAGGTAACCGTGGCGTGGAATAGTTAACCATTTTCTGACAAGTTCTTTTCCATGTGGAAGAAAAAGCTGCAATTTGGAGGCGTTAAACTGGAGCAGAAAAAAGTCTAAGCAAGAAATGGCAAAGTCTACTGGTTCCTGTCCTCTCTGCTCCAGTGGGTGGGTACCAAAAAGGTATTACGAAAAAGTTGCACACGTCTATCAGAAATATCTATTTTTGTTAAAATTTTTATTAGACTTAAACTAGTCCCCAATGGTCTGAAGCCCATTACAGCAATAGAAATTGCCTACACATGAAGAAAATAAGAGGAACATAAAACATATTTTATGTTAGGTCATGTTAAGCAGCTAATACATTAAGCCCTGCATTATAGCCAATAAAAATTCCCAGGGCTTTCGACAAAGCCTTTTTTTTATTATTATTTTTAGCTCTCTGACCACTTGATTATTTTAATTGGAATCAGGAAGACTGAATCAGGAATTCTCTATACAATATGTAAAGTATGTACTTTACTAGTCAATGTTATCACTTCCTTCAAGTCTATTGCTAGACTTTCAGCTGCCTGGAGTTCGGTCAATGGACCATTTTGGAAAAACAAGCATGTTGTCCTTGGATCGTAACTTTGTGTATATTTTTGTATAATGGACTGCAAATGCCATCTAAAATCAATTTTAAAAGTTATTATACATGAGTAATTTATTCCAGACGGTTATTTCGAGTGAATGATAAGTAGTATCAATGGTGTTTTCTTTGATTTCTATTTACTATATTCATATAAAAAAGCAATTAAATCAATATAATAGGCAACATTTTGTACAAAAATACAGAATTTTAAAAGCTTTAAAAAGTATATTCTATATTACTGATCAGAACTGGACTATATATATTTATATATAAAATTTATATAAATTTATACATGTATATTTATATAAATTGCCAATATTTGGGAATTTAGCAAGTGGCTGCTTTGTTTACACAGTAGCTTTGTATTTTTTTGTCTTCCTAGAGTAGTAAAGTCATAACTTGTAATCAGCTTGCTATTTTCTAGTTCTTACCAGAACATACCTTCTGCTTAAAGACTGAAGAGATCTACAGGAGTTTTGTCCAATTACATTTTCTACCAACATGTTTGTGCAACAGGTTGTAAAGCCCCTGAAAAATTAGAAAATGTGGAGGACAAATTGTGCTGATGAAGTTTATTCATCAAAGTTCTCAGTGCTCCTTTTCTTATTTGAGTGATGGTTCAGTCCCAGATTAATTTCTTTGCAAAGAAAATGTCAGTCTCTTGGCCCACGACCTATTACAATCCTGGAGGCTGAGCTGCAGTGGGAAATGAAAAGTAACAAGTGTTACAAAGGTAAAACCTGGCTTTAAAATCCAGAAACCAATGCCAAAGCTGTAAGTTGCAATGGTAAGTACTGCTTTCCAAATCTGTGTCTGACCATAACCAGTCAAAATGCAAATAGTCTGACAATGGTAGGAAGATATTTAATGTGAAAATCAGTGTATACTAATTACAGGTGATAAAAGAAAGATATTCAGTCCAGGGGTGAAATTCACTTACCTTCCCTACTGGTTCGCAAATGTGCACGCACCGTCATCCGTGCATGCGCAAAGCCTTCTGTGCATGCATAAATCCTGCGCATGCACAGATGCTTAAAATTGTCATTAAAAAGCGATGTCATGATGTCCGCACGGGTGGGCAGAGCCTCCCGCAGCCGCTGCTAATGGTTCACCCGAGCCTGATAGAACTGGCTGAATTTCACCCCTGTTCCACTCTATCTACTTACTGTCCATTGCCATTTGTCAATTAATCACAAGGGCAGACCAGTCAGTTTCACTCTTGAAATGCAGAAGTAGGGGGAAAAAAACCTTCAATCCACTGATTTTTCTCTACAGATAATCTCTCCCCACCCCCCACCTCCATAGTCTTATTAAAAGACAATTTTGGTCCTAAAAAATCACCTAAGTGTTGACTATTGTTAACATAATGAAATCTTGGGTTCTTTGGAAAGATTGCCATACCACCTGAGAAAAGATTTGTCTTTATTTAACACATCTTAATTGCGCTGTATAGTTGCTTAATCATCTGAGGCCAGTTATAAAGTGAAATGTTGTGCTGTTAATCATGTTGTAAGGTAATTGAAGAGGGGGCAAGGGAGGGGATCCAATAGGGATCAGGACTGAAGTGCTGGCATAAAGGTCAGGGGAACTAATTCTTCTTGTATTACTTCATTGTAGAAGTTATTTACTTTGTAGGAAACAGCACCGAGTAAACACAAATAGATTTCTAAGAATTATTTTTCTAGCTGTTATACAGAACACATTTTGGTGGCAGTGACCACTTGTTTCAGGTATTAAAAGCTGCTGAAATTTAAACACACATTCTAACTGAAATTTAAATTCAGGGCAGCATATAAATTTAATAAATAAGGAAGGCTGATTCAAGAGAGCCCTATGTTTGCTGTATATTTCTCACTTTCTTTTCTGAAGAACCTCAGATGAGCACTTTATCCTAACCCCAGCCTCCTTGTATAACGTTAGGCTGAGAGAGGGGAAAAAGCAGAATAATTTGTCCAAAACATCCAAAACAATGAATTTTATGGTAGACCCTCCCCCCACCTCAAACCCTTCTATTAAATTAACTTAAGAGTCATATATTAACAATATCTATATAATTGATAATAACAAAATACAAAGGTAGAAAATTGTATCTCGTTTTTCAAGGTTTCACTTTCATGTAAATTACGGAAATGTTTAATGAAAGGGGGAAGCTGAGTAATAACACCTGACTCTTCATCCATTGTCCAATAGCCTTTAAAAAAATCTTCAGAAACAATAGGTCCAATTGCTTATAGCTTTCAACCTGTATTTTTTAGTTCTGAAATTACACTACTGTCGTTTTGGTGTTAACTGGAAAAAATAAATTACTTTGCTTTTCTTCAAAATTAGCTGGGCATGTTTTAGAACACTGATTGCCAAATGTATGTAACCTAGTAAGAATAGCTGTGTAATCTTGTCAGTAGTTTAAAACTCAGTGGCCTGAACATCAGAAGCAGCTAGGGAGAATATTTATACACAGATGCTAATAAGGATTGATCTCAATTTCTCTTCCAAGACCTTCTATCTGTATGAGTAGGATATTCAATTCCCTCTTGTCCTAGCTGCAGAAATTTGGTTGGTAATAAACCTTTGTAATAAATGTGAATGCATTTGGTTCAAAGCTTACCATACCTTTTTCAACATCTTGTTCACAAATAAAACTATTAACATCTTCACAGTGAAAGTCATTCCAGAGCCCAGCATGGATTAATCCAGCACAATCTTCTCCTGGCCCATGGCCATGTTTCCAGTTATCAGGCTGTCCAGCACTCCAGTTTCTTAAATAAAACAAAAAAAAAGATCATTTCATAACCAAGCCATCACATGACAGTGTGACAGAAGAGATTTATAATAGTAAAAACAGAACAAAAAATAAATCTCTCCTAAAGTAGAAATCATACTCCTTAACAAATAGTGCATGACTTTTTCTGGAAATTGAAAACAGCTGGGCTTTAGAGATGGGAATCAATTGGACAAACTGCCAAAGCTCAAAAGTCTAAAATTAGACCAAAAATTATGTTATGGTTTTGGACTGAACATAGACACATTTACAGAGTGTAATCCTTCAATGGGGTTGTATTTGTTTGTTTCATCTATAGCTGCAGATGAGCTACTAAGATATAAATACATCTTACTGTTAGATTTAGATATGCATCTCCAAATCCAAATCAAATCAAATCAAAATATAAAGAATAGTTTCTTGCTATACAGTATTTAGAGAGAAATGCCTAATATTATCATATCATAAACTCAAAACACATCAACAATCATATATTGCAAGAACTATCTTATAATAAAAAAATAAATTTGCATAATTAGAGCTACTAGATCTGGATTGCAAAACTCCAGAGCAGAGATTCTCAATCTGTTTATTGCCATCTAATAATCCTTCAGATTTCTGTAGCCTTTATATTTATTTGGGGATGTATCGTCCTCCTAGTAAATTATCCTTTGGGTGGATTATGAACAATCACTTTAAGATTTCTTAAGATCCTTAAAGATGCAGTGGTTTAAGTTACAAATGTGGAGATTTCATCAGGATAAGAAGGAATTAACCAAAGATACCAGTAACATTTCCTTAAACTAAGCTGCAATGCTCAACAGCAGTTAAACAGAGAGACTGGAGAAAAAGGTAATAATTTCATTCAGTGGGAATGACAGGTCTTAGTCTACTTGATCTAGTGCTGATCCGGTGTATACCCTGATTCCAGTTCAAAAGAGTTTGGCTGATATTTAGCTTCAACGACAAATGAAGGCGCAAGTTTGGTACCAGCAATGATTTACAACTGATGCAATATGGAAGTCTTATTTTCTGTAATCAGCCAAGTAAAATTGACCCTTTATTGTTGTCCTTCTTCCACCCACACATCTATATAAAAGTTGTTTAAAAAAACCTCTGGTTTCTCTGGCCTAGTTTGCTATTAAGTCTGTAATAAGCATTTTAAGGTGCTTAATGTGCCTTATTATCTTCTTTTATTAGTTATTCAGTATTTTTTTTCTGTCAATAAGCCTTTTGAAATCAAAGAAATATTAATCTGAACCTAAAAGTCAATGCCCTTTATAAGGTTGCTGCACTGTTTCCTATTGGCAGATGCTAAGAAACAGCTTTAGCAGAAAACAGTGAATGTCCTTCCTGCACTCACATGTATTCTGGTAGGGTACCATCCAGCCATCGCCATTCATCTTCCTTCGCTGAGTCAGTGAGACCAATCCAGAAACTGCCTTTTGCAATAACTTGTTTTTTCAACCATTGCTGTGTACGGAAGAAGGAATCGGTCACATTATTTCACATCCCAGGGTTTTGGCTCCCTTAAACTATTTTAGCCTCTTGAAAAGTGTGACTGAGCATAAACATGAGTTTCTGGGCAAAATGAAACCTGGAACTATTTTTGAGTGTATCTCATTTGATCTGAGCACCTTTTCCAACACATTCTTCCTTTCACACTCCCAATCTCAGTCCAATTTCCTTTTCACCATCTGCCAAAAATGTCTTTTTCCCAACCAATTTTCTGGTTAAAGAAAGTGCGCTGATAGTAGTAATAGCCAGCTAGGGCACATGAAGTGAAGAGAGGGACTTTATTTCCACTCTAGCAATGGAAATTCTGCAAAGTAGAGTGTGAAAAACGCTGCTTCCACACGAACTGTTTGCCGCGTGGTGGGCTCTGCAGCCAGAATGAAAAGGGATTATCAAAGAAACTCCCTTGTTCCTTTCCCCTGCTTGCTGTCACAAGAGCATCAGCTCAATAAATGCTGACCAAACATTTTAATTTGTCTGCCTCAATACAAAATGCTGTCTTTTATTATATTTACAGTGGCTCATTGTAGCATGATGTGGATATTAATGCAGCTGTAGTTGCCCTGGAATCAGATTTTAAGATGTCTAATAAAGAGCTATAAATAGATAAAACAGTTTGGGGCTCTGAGGCTAGGGAGAAGGGAACTTGGAGGCTGAATGGGAAGGGTTTGTTTTATAACTTAAATTAAAATCCAACATGTTACTCCAAAAGCATATAGAAATTACAATAATCATCTCATCTGGAACAATATCCTGCCTTATTTTCAACAAGACCTTTTGGATGTTCACTATTTCTATTTCTGGGGTTGGAAATATTACTCTCAACGATACCATTGGTTTATGATTGCACACACACTCTGCTTAAGCTGACATTTGGGAATCTTTGATTAGTCTTCATAGGGTCAAACTACATATTGCTTATGTTGCCTTCAACTTTGTTTTGTCATGTAGTGAATGTAGCTACGTAGAAATGTCGTTTTATTAAAATGAAAAGATGGACAGGAAGAAGGTATGCATTCCTTTTCCAGTCCTGCCCTCACCTCTGTTGAGTCAACCTCCTAGCCTGCATTTTGCTTTAGAGAAAATCATTTGGGGGGGGGGGAAGCAGGCATAGGCGAGACAATATCAGCAAGTAAGTAAGAGTAAGAAAGAGTGATAGATCCTCTTCTCATGGACTGCTCTGAACAAACAGATGGCAGCATCTGACAGCTCCATTTCAAGAAAGAAAAATCAACATGGATTTTCAGCAGAATATTCAACCTAGGTAACAGCATCAGAAGCTCCTATAACAAGTGATGGTTGGTCTTCCGTGCAAATACAAGTGGGAGGGGCAACTCAGTTGTTAAGGAAAATAGTTGCTAGTGAAACTGCAACTGTGTTTACTTCAGCTTTCCTTTGCTTTACAGCAAGTAAATGCAAGGATTGGTCACAACGTTACTTTTTCATCACCATTGTAACTGCAAATGATAATAAAGTAAAGCAGTTGCTAAACAAGGACTACTTGCATTTTTGGTCAACTTTTTTCAGTAAGACTGAAATCCCCTGATCATCCCTCCTGATTATCTTTAGTCAGATGTTTACATTTATGAGACATTAACATCTATAAAATGAATGAAGGCAAATATATGTGTCCCAGGGTAATGTTGGAGAAGCCAATCTGGGTTGGTCACCAGGACCAGAGGTTTAATCTTCTGTAGTCACACACATTCTGGTGAGAGACAAGTTCCCTGAAGATGGGCTCCAGCACCAGTCCGAAAGCTCGGAAGACTAAAACTTTGGTCCCAGTGATCAACCTAGATTGAATCCTGCAATGTATAAGATACTTTCTGACTGTCTTGTCTAACCTACTCAACTCCAATCATTGTCAACTGGCATGGCTGGAAGTAATGATGTTCCATATTTGTTCTTTTGTGCTATTTAAATCTAACAGCATGCTAGATAGGATTTTATACCTGTTCCTCTTTGCTATTGATGAAAACCAAATGAGATGATTTCTCTTCGCAGAAAAGTTTTGCATCTTCAAAAACGGCTCTTTCATTTGAAAAGTAGTAGCAGTTGTCTGAAAAGTTCTTCCAGTAAACAGGACAACCTATAACATGAAACACTCGCATATAAACGCTCAGGAGAATGAAAACATAATTTTAGGGCTCTGCACACTTTGAAAATGTGCTATATGTTAAGGCAGCCTGATTTTTTTCAAGGCTTTAGTATGGCCCGAAAAAGATGCCTATGTTTTAAGACTCAACCCATTAAAATCAATGCCACTATTAAAATAATAGCATCTTTTTTTTCAAACTCATACAGAAGCCTGAGAAAAGATGCACTAGTTTTAAATAAGCATCAGGGACACACTGTGCTCATGTGAAACCCAAGAGACGACTTCTGATTTACCCTTGAAGCACTAATAACCCTAGTAGATATAGTTTTGAATAACATTATTGGAAGCCAAGCAATTTGAAAAACTAATCATCTATTCAGAATATTGTTGAAATGGAATTTCCGTTACTGAGAGTTGCAGCCATCCTTTTCTATCAAATTGGCCTTCAAATCATTTCTAGTTTATCATAAAGAAAAAAAGGGCTCAGTTTAATAATATGATTGCAGGATAAAATTGAAAAGCATCCAAATTTTATTCATGTATCAAAACCATTCTTCTAATACCATTCTGGGGTAACTTTCTATGCAAAATTTGAAACAAGTATTAACAATGAAATTTGAACAATCCTACACAATTATTTATCAGGTTTTAACAGAAATACTGGCAATATACTATGTTTTGCCCACTTTTTCCATATAATACATAACTTTTCCCATTATTACAAGAGACAAATATTGGTTCTCATATATCGGTTCTGCAGTAACATAGAAATTGTTTTGTGAATTAAAAGATAAGGGAGAAGAAATAAAGTTCAATAAACTTTAGATATCACTGAATCTATATGACAGTTGAAGGAGAAGAAAGAAATTAAAAGATGGGAAGAGGAATTGTCAGCTTGAGCTTATAATTTTTTTACATATAATAGTACAAAATACTAGGACTTATAACAAGGATCAAAATTACTTATTGTCTTCTTAACATTATAGAGAGAAGCTTTAGAAGACGAGTGAGAAAGACAGACAAAAATGTGCTTCATGGCCCCAGACCATCTCTCTGTGTATAATGTTATAGATTAAATGGCTGAATCCAAGCACTAACAGCTCTGAAAGAGAATGTGAAGAATTCTGATGGGGAAAAAAGGTAACAATTACTTTTCTGTACCTCCTTAGAAATCTTGGATTTAAAAACCATGATCTTCATTTCATGCTAGTTGGAGGCTTGAACAGATAAACTTCCATTGCAATGTGTACACAGAGTACAGTCCAATCCAATAGTCAACATCCCAGTAGTTTAAAACCGTACTTTTATATATTGGTAAAAAATATACAGTGAAGCATGCAGACACATAGTGGGTGTGTTAACAGCTTACCGTTAATTTCACTTTGTAGTGCCATAGCTATTCCTGGACCTGGTGGTCCGGGAGGACCAGGCTCACCTGGAAGACCACGTAGTCCAGGTACACCTGGGAAACCAGACAACCCACGAGCACCAGGTATCCCTGGTTCACCAACAAATCCTTGAAGACCTACGGGTCCAGGTGGGCCTTGTGGGCCAGGGGGTCCATCTTTGCCAGGTGGTCCAGGGAGTCCTGGATCTCCACTAGGACCAGGCAGCCCAGTCTTCCCAGTTGAACCTCTCTGGCCTTTAGATCCAGGTGAGCCTCTGGAACCTTTTCCACCTTTTTCACCTGGTGATCCAGGTGGGCCACTTGGTCCCTTTTCACCTTGAGGTCCTGGAGGTCCTTGTTCACCTTTGTCTCCTTTTTGTCCTTTGGGCCCAGTAAGTCCAATTGGACCTTGGGGTCCTCTGTCACCTTTAGACCCTCTTGGACCTGGAGGACCTACAATAAAATGAATATGTGGAGAAAGTCAGAAGAATAATGAAATAATCTAATGTAATAAAATTAGTAAACTGCAATACCTCTTAGTACTAAGAACATATTTCTACTTTAGATTTTAAATCAATTTCTAAGTATTTTTAACAATACTGGGCTCCTTCAAAGAAGTCAAGAAAACTTAATCTATAAGTGTGCCTTTATCATAAGACAAAAAACTAAAACTAGATAGATGTTTACAGCTTCCTTAAAAGATTAAGGAAATTGCCCAGATTTGTTCAAGTTGTTTAATTGTGTTTATGTGATTGTTGTTATTGTTTATATGATTCAGTGTTGCATCAAAGAATGTCCAAAACCTTACCAAGCATTCCTCTTATTTATATTTTTGTTATTTTAAACAAGCATGAGGGGGATTCAATGTCTATGTTTTAATTTTTTCTTGCTTTTCTATTCATTATGGTCACAAAACAAAGCAAATTTGACTAAATTTCCAAGTTATGGGAGACATATTTATAGAAGAAAGTTTAAAAAATGGTGGAACTATCATAAAATTCATGTTCAAGGAAAATTTGTATTAGGTAAAATAAAAAAGCATTAAAACTATTGGAAAAGCTTTAAAAAATTATAGATCTTTTCAAGTTAGCTAGCTTGCAAAGATATCTAGAGATCTCAAAAAGAGAAATCTCCATTTCATGAAACCGAGGAAACTGTCAGTTTTTGGAAGTTGCACTAAATAAAAAATATCTCATTTTCATGAAGTTGTCAAAGAAAAAAAAACTTCCGCTTACAAGAAAAAAAACTTTTGCTAAGGATCTTCACAACATTGGGCTATTTTTCAGATAGTGACACATTCTACTTATGACATATGCATAATACAATATATATATCTGATTATAGGATGGTAAAAAATTGTAATGGAAACTTTAGAAATATAAGATATTTACATTTCTCTTCCAGAAATGGGGAAAAAAATAGAACACCAATAATGATTGACAATATATATGAAATAAAGGCATACCAAACACTAAAGATCAGTTCTGATGCGATGTGCATTTCCTATTTTATTTGCTTTATTTGTTTAATTTTATCCTACCTTCATTATTTTTATAAACAATTCTAAGTAATGAACATCCCTAATACACCTCCTTCTTCCTATTATCTCCACAACGACAACCCTGTTGGGCTGAGAGATAATGACTGGCCCAAAGTACTTTCCTCTTAACCAGGGGTGAAATCCAGCAGGTTCTGACAGGTTCTGGAGCGGAAATTTTGAGTAGTTCGGAGAACCGACAAATGCCACCTCTGGCTGGCCCCAGTGTGGGGTGGGAATGGAAATTTTGCAATATCCTTGCCCCAGTAGTGGGGAGGAAATGGGGATTTTGCAGTATCCTTCACAAGCCACACCCACCAAGCCATGCCTACCAAGCCACACCACGCCCACCAAGCCATGCCCACAGAACCAGTAGTAAAAGAAATTGGATTTCACCACTGTTCCTAACACTTTGGTGATTTAATGTAAAGTCTTCATATATTTTCAGTATGCTTTTCAGCACAATGACAAAAAATCCACTCCTGGATTAAAAGTTTTCATTAAAGCTCTCCCCATGTGTCAGAGACCAGCACAAGGACTGTAAAGTCCTTTTTAGAAGCTGGGCTAAAGGGAAACATTCTTGTTAAGACAGCTATGATACAACACACATATGCAGACTAGGCTATGTCAGGAAGTTCTGTCTAACTAGTTGCAGTCTAATGCAATGATCTTTTATTATAGGGAGACGGGGGGGAAAAGAAGCCCGTTAATAAGATAAAATTATTCCACCTTCCAGCTTGTAACATAAACCACTGATTGGTAACACCAAGGCAAGATTATCTGAGTGTTATCCACCAAGAATGCAAGTTTAGTTGGGTGTTGATTGGCTGGAAGGTATAAGCATTAAGTGTATAGAGCTAAGTTGTAAACTATTTAATGATGACTCATCAATGCAATGAATATTCAGCATTTTCATTAATTATCTGGATGAGGAGATAAATGGAACACTTAAAATATCTTGTAAATGGCACATACTTCCCTGGAAGATTAAAATAAAATTCAAAATAATAGGTTAAAAATGTAGGCTGAAAATAATAGGATGTAGTTTAAGAGAGAAATAATTGAAGTTATGCATTCAGGAAAAGAATTCAAATGCTGAACTACGGGATAGGAAACAGCTGGTTTACCAGTATTGGAAAAGAACTTGGAATAATAGTTTTACGTTCCAACTATGAGTCAATAATATATGAATGCAGATAAGAAAATGCAATTTTAGGCTGCATCAAGTGAAGTATAGTTTTCATATCACGGGAATTATGACTTCCTTTTCTTTCTTTTGGCAATCCCACTAGAGTATTTTGTCCAGTTCTGGGCATCACACTTTAAAAGGTATTCAAGTGAATTGGACAATCAGAGATTAGAAACCAAGTATTATAAAAGAGAGATTGAAGGAGCTAAGAATGTTTGGGCTTGATGAGAAAAGATTGAGTGGGAATATGATAGCACTCTTCAGATCAGATTACAAAGGTTTAGGATGCTAAACTATTCTCTGTTGTTCTGGAGAACCTGATACATTTTACCTGGACTGATTAAAGTCTAGGTTCTTTGGGGCCAGTCATCAGCTCAATACTTCAGCAAATTGTTGTGGGGAAAATGAAATAAAAAGTGCTACATGCTTGAGCTTCAAAAATAAAGGCAAAGATATAAATATATAACAAAGATATAGCAAAGATATAAATATATAACAAGTAAATAAATATCAGCCATTGATGATACTTTAATTTGGATTCCTGCTTTGAAGAGTGGACAGACTTGATCACCTAAATAACATTTTTCGTCTATGATTCTAAGATACTTCAACGTAATGAGTAAACCAAAATGTCACATCAAACCAAACATATAATGGACCAATTTTACCTTGCAGCTATTTTTTAAATTGAACTATTTGCAGAGTACTGTTATAAAAACTGATACAGTGCAGTATTGTTCTATTTACTAGAAATTGGCATCTTAGACAATACTAATTCATTCAATTATTACATTTTGTTTTAGGAATTAGTTCCAAAAGAAGAGTCAGATAGAGGAATATGAATTTAAGAATAGCAAAAAAAAAAACCCAACCAGCGATAACCATACTACGTTAATAATACATTTTCACATAATCTGTATTTTAACTATCTAACAAATAGCTTGTAGTCTACACCAGTGTTTCTCAACAAGTGGTATCCAGTACCATAGTAATTTAAGACACACATTTCCCTTCCAAAATCATTAAAAATGCAAGTGAGAAAAATAGGGCAGAGAAGGAAGACTAGAGAATTGCTAGTCTTCAACTGAAAGTATTGAGGAACCCCCAAAGGTGTTTTTTCAAGAGGCAACTGGACTTTCTATTGAGCGGGGAGGGATACAACATCATCTATCTCCAGTCTACAACACAATCCTTTCAACAGTTCCAAGAAGGCTCCACACTCATTTGAACTACTCAGGTGACCACAGAGATAAACCTCCGAGTGGCTTCAATGACTCTATAAAAAAAAGAATGCAAATGACCAGCTGTCTGCAAGGAATATATATCCTTCCATTCCCTGCCATCCAGTCAGAGTTGAAGAAGCTTCTTGGATGAGGAGTGAAACATCTTCAAAGAAAAACCAGAAAGTCCAGTTGCCTTGAAAAAGCACCTTTGGGGAAACCATGACCTGGATGACTGAAAATCTCTATAGACATATTGAGGAACCCAGCATTTCCACAGTGTTTCTTAGAGCCCAGGATTGCAGCAGCCTCTTTGAGGACAAAATAACATTTATGCTAGTTTGTTTCCTCTCGTTATTTAATTATTTTTATTTTTTTTAAATTTATTTTGGCTTAAAGAAAACTTTCCAGATTGGCAAACACTGCTTCACTCCCAATGAGCTTACTCATTATCCTACCATTATAACAGGAAGTTCAACAGTATTATTGCAATGTTTAAGTCCATAAGAATACCAAAACAGGTACATATAGTAGCAGAATATTTGTAAACATATTATCGTTTTCAAAAAAAAAAACGATTTTGTGGTTCACATTTTTCAGGACCCAGGTTCTTTGATATAGGAATAAAGTAACATGAGAACCATTGGTTTTGACCATTGTAATTTGTACTGCTTAAATGAAATGTTGATATTTGTGTAATTTTTTTCTATGCTGCTTGGAAAATGTGTCCATATTTCAACCTTTGTTCAACTGTTCTTCCATTATTTTTAGATCTTCTTTAACTCTGGAACCATAACTAAATCTTATGCTATAAATTCTATAGTTAAACTTCATGTGTTTCTTAATATAATATGATATGAGAAAAGAATAACTCTAATAAACCTGCAAAGCTGACCTACTGTTTTTTCTTTCCCTTCTATTCCCTTTTCCACCAACTTTTCAGAAAGCCAGGAGTGATGTAGTCATCATATTTATTTTCCTACAATGCTTCTGAAATCCATAAGGAGCTGGTAATCTCAGGTATCCTAGACAATTTGAAAATCAATACCAATATCAATTTTGCAAAAGTCATCCAATACATTTCTTACCTTGCAGTATTGTGAAATTTTTAATCAGCTGACCATGTTTAGAATCTACCAGCTTCATCTCTTCCATTATTACTGATAAATTGGCTACTTCAATATCTAACCGTGTCCTCATCACATCCTGCTGCATCCTTAAAGTAGTAGCATCAAAACGAACATTCGCTAATGTGTTGTTCATAAAAATCAGCTCATCCATATGCTTACTAAGAGTATCTGTGCACGTTGTCCTGGCATCGTTGAGATTGCTGGTTAGTGTCCGTAAGTGATGAGCAGTGTAGCTAATATTACTAATAATGTTGACGATATCTGTCTCAAAACTATGAAATTTGTCTTCTTGCTGGTTAAATTTGGCAGATGTTCTGTTTTCATATTCTTTATAGTGTTCTTGGAGATCCTTCAAACTTTGTTCATTGGCTTGAGCAATAGTAGTGATATTCTCCATCTGTCCACTGAATGAATTTAACTGACTGCTCACATCCTCAAGTGTATCATTATTAGCTTTGGTCATAACTGAATTATTAGCTGCTAATACTTGTAAAATCTGCACTTTCTCTTTAAGCCAGTCAGTATCTTTCCGTGCTTGGAGGGCAACCTGCTGAAGGTTTTGAAAGTCATTTTTGATTCTTTGGATAGCCTGACTTGTGTCATCCACCGATCTCTGCAAAGCACTGATAAGGTTTCTTTGCTGAACCTGGGTCTGGTTAAGATTATTTAGATTCAGTATGACAACATTATGTGAGTGCATTTGGCTTTGCAAGTTTGTTTGAATGTTATTGGTGTCTTGTTGGAGATCACTGATGTAGCCATTGTAAGCTTGAAGAGTTTTGTTAATATTGTTGATCATGAAAGAGTTGCTGTCCAAAACACCATTCATTTGACTTTGCCTGTCATTTAACATGCTACCAGATTCTTGTAACTTTTCCAGTGTCTCTTTGTTCTTTGTGGTTTTTTCTGAAATCTCATGAAGTTGCTGGCGGAGGGCTAGGACATCAGCTTTGAAACTTGAAAGCTCTGTGTTTGTGGTCATGGCTTTCTCTTCAGCTTGATAATCTGAAAGAAGCAGGAAAGTGATAAACATTCACATTTGTTACTTAGCAGAACAGTTTAACAGAGTTTACTTCATTATAAACGGGAGGATAAGCCAATACATAAACAAACTTATTTGGGGAATTGCTAATGAACATCAGTTTGCATTGGGGAATTCTGAATTAATACAAACTAATTTCTATTTACAAGGCTGTTGGAAGGGTCACCGAAACATAGAAATTAAAGGCATACAAAAAGCATATGAATTCCCTTTTATTGAAAGACCATCAGTAAACCTAGATCAGTATCATCTGTTTTCACTCTCAGAAGCTAACCATGGTCTCAAACAAGAAGAAATCTGTGCTGTTGTATGTTTCTAGAAGGATGAAAACTGTGTTTGCCAATATCCCAATCACCCAAGAGATTCATCTTAACTTCAATAGACTTAACACATACTTAGGTGGTTTTATAGTGAGTAAATGCATAATTTGTATATGCATTTATTCAGTATGGCACTGTATAAAGTGTAAGATCCAGAATTTGAAAGTTTAAAGATGAACCATTAACAAATTAAACTAATCTTTTAGAGAATCTATTACCAGCTACTGAAAAAAAATTACTACTGATTCCAATTTTAGTATGTTGATGACTCCTATGACAAAGGCATAATAATTTCACCATTTACTTAATCAGTTTATTCATATTAATTACCCAGTTTCTTTAAATCACTCTTCACTTCTAAAAGCTTCTCACTGCATCGTTGGCGTGAATCTTCCATGTCACCAGAAACATTGTCCATTTTTTCTACAACTAGAACAAAAGAAAACAATTTCTTAGCAGTGATCAATATTGATAAAAGACTGAAAGATGTAATCCAACAATCTATGGAATGAACATTCAGGCTCTCCATTCCCAATTATATGTTAATATATGCCTAAAGAAACCAGAGTAATTTTCCCAGTACTTAAACATAACTATAATGAGATTGTTAATGCTAATAACAATATTAGCAATAACAATATATGTTTATTATGTACTTTTTAAAAAATGATGCTACCAAAATAGCATGCAACAAAATAAAACCATATAATATGGGCCATAAAAATGTTTAAAAGAAACCAAAAAAAACCCTGAACTAGACAGAAATCAAGCAATAGCAAAAAGCAATTATGCTAAATTAAAACTAACAATAAAATAAGGGATACACATTAAAGCCTGTAGAAATACATGCTTATTCATACTTTTAGTGAGATACACAAAGAGGAAATCCAGAAAATTTGATCTAGGAGGACATTATAGGTTTACTCATACCACCTATATGACAGGGACACCTGTCTCTTATGTACTTTCACTGAATCTCTTAAAAATAGAACTGATAGAAAAACCTTGAATACTTAATGTATAGGGAAAGCCTTCAAATTCTGTTATGGAAGGTGGCTGAAGGCAATGCAGATAGTCCTCGATTTATGACCACAAATGAGCCCAACATTTCTGTTGCTAAGTGAGACAGTTATTAAGTGAATTTTGCCTACTTTATGACATTTCTTGCCACAGTCGTTAGGCAAATCACTGCAGTTGTTAAGTAAATAACACGGTTGTTAAGCGAATCTGGCTTCCCCACTGACTTTGCTTGTCAGAAAGGGATCATATAATCCCGGGACACTGCAACCGTCATAAATATGAGTCAGTTGCCAAGCATCTGAATTTTGATCATATGACCATGGGGATGCTGCAATGGTCGTAAGTGCGAAAAATGGTCATAAGTTACTTTTTTCAGTGCTGTGGTAACTTTGAACAGTCACTAAATGAACTGTTGTAAGTGGAGGACTACTTGTACTTGTATTAATGGGACTTTATTGTTTTTCAATTATTCATTAATACAAAACAAAAAATGCTAAATTCCTTGATGCCTTCCAGACAGAAACGTAGAATTGAAATCACATATAATAATATAATAATATGAATAAATACATCAATTGAAATTTGCAGTTATTCTGATGGAGGGAAATCTAATGACATGTGCTGATATTATAATAAAACTAAATGTTGCACATGAAAAGCCTGTTGAAAAATGTTTTTGCCCAGTGGATTCTGTACTTTTTGAGACTCTATGGCTAATCTTAACTGTTTTAATGTCACATTCACTGTGAAACTGTGGTGGAGCTTTTTTTTTTCCTTTTCTTTTCCTTAGTTGCAAAGTATGAGAATTATCAGGTTTGTTTGGCTTTTCAGATCTCTTTAAAGCATGCTGCTGCCGGCTGCCATCCACAATGGACACAATGGGGCTTGGAGGCTTCCCTCTGGCCCACAGAGGAACGGGTGTTCGCAGGGTACCTGGTTGCAATTGTTAGAAATATTGAATTTTACATCTGACTTTAGTCACAGGCAATTTTTAGAATGAAAGTACACAATACAAAGCGGTTGAATTTAAAAAAAAAAAAACTAGACAACTGCATTTGGATGAAGAAGCGATAGAAAAAGGCAAAAAAAAAATCACAACACAATAACTGTAAAGCTGTCTGTTAGGCACACTTAAAACCTCGTTGAATATAGTGCTTTTTGTTTTTATTTAATAAGTCAGAATTTGGCAGTATTGTAGTTTTTGATTTATTACTGGTCTTTTACTGACTGTTCTAAGTTACACTGGACCCCCCCACCCACCCAAAACGTACTTATGCCCTGGTTTTGAAATTCTGGTGGCCAGCACCGTCTCTCATAGTCTCATGACCACATTTTGGGTGCTTGAAAATCAGGCTGCAATTATGATATTTGCAGCATACCCCAGTAATGTGACTGCCATTAACAATGTTTTTGATGACTAAATTGATTTTGAACTTAACATCAGCAGCTAGGCTGCTGGTAGCTCAATATTGGAACAAGGACTCTTTGCCTACTATTGAAGAGTGGATATTGAAAGTAACAAACCTACAGAAATGGCGAAAATCTCGGCATACTTGAAGGACCACACGCAAGAAAGATATGTATCGGAATGGAGAAGATGGATTGATTATATTCAAAATAAGTATCAGACAAGAAAATATCAAATAGCTTATGAATGAATGTTAGTATTAGAAGTATTTGGTTATCTGTAGTGGAGTTAAGGTTTCAGTGGGGTAGGTAGTACTTTGAGGATAAGTAGATTAATCTAGTTTATGTTTGATTAAATGAAATACCTTGCATTTTGCTCTGGGAAGTCGGGGGGGAGGGGGGGATGAAGGGGGGGAAAGGGTGGGGGGAACAGGGGGGAAAAATTTTTTTTGTATTTCTTTTTTGTAAAACTTTTCAATAAAAACAACAACAACAATGTTTTTGATGGAAACCGGCATTTACCTCCAGTTTGTGACAAAAAACAACAACACTCCCCATAGCAAACAATATGTTTGCTTATCGATTGTGGCATTCATTTTATGACCATCATGTTTGATTTATGGCTGCCATGTTCATTTTGTGACTGCTATGTTTGTTTTAAGGACTTTGCAAAAAAGAAAAAAAAGTAACTTTGGTCAGTCATGTGTTTTACGACCATCACAAATTATGACCATAATTGCTGGGCTCAGTTACGGTCGTAAGTCAAGCATTACCCATATAAACAAAACAACAAATTTACAATCAAAAGTCAATCCAGGATAGAAGCCAAATATTAAACAGAAAGTAACTACTGGAAAAAGAGGAATATTTTTTTTACAAAATAATCTAAGAAATTTCAGAGAGCGAACGGGTAGCAGCAGCAGCAGGAGGCTCCGCTCATTCACCTGGACACTTCTGTGCATGCGCAGAAGCGTTGCACAAGCGCACGCACTCACACACCCACAAGCGAACCAGTAGCGATGGCTTTTGAAACCCACCCCTGACACACACACACAACTTTGCAACCATTGCAAATACATGCCAGTTCCAAGCACCCAAATTTTGATCACCTATCTGTTGATATGCTTCAACAGTCAAAAATACCAAGACCTATCATAAATTACTTTTTCAGTGTCATTTCAAGCAGTAGCTAATAAAATAGTTAAATTGAGGACTATCTGTAATATGGAGAGTACCTGCTAGTATTGGCATTTTGGCCAGAATGCAAACCTTGCTTTTCCATATTTTTTTCAAACTGGGATCTCTAATAAAGAAAGGTAACATGCTGTTTACCTGCATTTCAACAGGTAGGTAATATATGCAGAGTATTGACACATTCAGATTTCCCATTACTATTGATGTTTAAATATTATCCATGTTGTGTGTGTATCCATCCAGTCCTTAAACTGAAATCAATGAATAAGCTATCATATGTTTGAAGTACAGTCAGTGAAATTTAACTGAAATACTGAGCTTTTGTTATATACCCGTTTTCTAAATACAAAAACATTGTGAAAGACTGATGTATGAAATAGATTAATGGAAAAGAGCAACTATCTTTGTTTCTCCTAAACTTTAAGAGTTGCTTACATTTTTATAATTTAACAATCTGAGATTAGTAATCTTACCCTATTTAAGTAATTATTTAGGATGACAAATTAACTGATAGGCTAGCATGGAAAATAATGATTACAATTTGCTTTCATCTGTGATATATTCTGAAATCACACTGATTTAATTAATCAATTACTTTTTTGTGGTCAATTTTTCTTGGACACAGTACACAGCTACTGTTATAGATATGGAACTTACCTTTGTATCCCAAGACGGCTACTGTTATTGCTAGCAAGGCACATAATATATATAAAAGTATGATAGAAAATTTCAGTGCCCAGTTACTTTTACACTTGGTGCATTGTGTTCCTTCTTGAATACCTACAAAATAAAATTAAGAAATATAATTAAATTATATTATATTTAATTAGTTAATATGAAGATTTTTATTTGCAAGTCTGCATAAGGCTAAAACTAAATGTGGTTTATCAATAACCCATAATCAGTTAATGTATTGGTTTGATAAGAGACAGTCATGCATTATATTCAATGTAAATTCAACCAGTTAATCGATCAGTCTATCTATCTATTGATAGACAAATATAGGAATTCATATATAATGTTCAATGTATAAACTGCAAACACATAATTTTATTTATATTTTATGTTTCTAGACTACCCATCTCCCTCAAATATGGACCATGTGTGAGTTTATAGCAGGATTAATGATATAGTCACATATTCTTTTGCATACCAAAAGTTATTCCTCCTAAAAAGGTATGGTAAATTACTATTCTTTACACTGTTTTTAAAATATTGAGGTTCCCAAATGAATAAATACCACACATACTTTTTTTAATCTTATGAATAAGAGTTTTGATTCAAGCAACTAGAAATAAGAAACATGCATGGGTTTACCTAGAATTGTAATTTTCAGAAAAGTTTCTGTTCTACTTAAAACATTCAAACTATAAGTTAACTACTTACCTAACAGTTAAAAGAAATACAGAATTAACCAACCAAAAACATTAGTATTGGACTCTAGAATTGAATATATGCTAATTTGGATGAATTAGGAGCAAACAATAGTAACAACAAAAGAAAAGACAACTGTAAGAAGGACACTTTGTGCCCTGTTGCAATTTATTTGTCCTTCTTATGGTCACATATTGTCTCATTTCTGTTGTTACTTTTGTTTGCTCCTATTAAAATGAAATATGTCAGTCCTGAATCATTTCTGCAAATGTAAATAAAATGAATGGAATGTAAGTGAAACTGGAGTGGGCTTTAGTCTCCAACTGCTTTTGTTAGGAGGCAAAAGCTGTACAGTGAATTTCCCAATATTCGTTAGTAGATCAAAAATCCATAAGACTATTCTGTACTCTTGAAATGATCATATTCTAAATTATGCAAAACCAAGTTTAAGCTTAATCGGACTTTTATCTGTTCACATTGGTTTGGTTTGGGTCCTTCCTTATGTAATCTGAGCAGCCAGCTTTAATGATGGGCTGCTTCCAATCCTTTGTCACCAGTTGAACATACCAGAGTGTCCGGGTCATTTCCGGATGCTGCACATTTCTCCCTGCTGACTTAAACAACCCTTAATAAATATCAGATGGGATACAATGAGTCTTCTTTCACTAGACACACTTTTCAGTTTCCTGGCTTCTTATAATGCAAGATCTGTTTTTTCTTTGTCCCTGTTGGAAGACATCTGGCTAAACAGACCGAAGCTTAGTACAAAGGGTGTATCCAGCTGATACACATGTTTTGGGGGACCCCCTTTCTCCAGGAGCCAAGATGGTCACAAAAAAACAAGCTCGAAAGACATCCTCCTGTTACTAGCCTTTGTAGTATTTGTTTTTCTTGGATTACATTCCAATGACTGGGGACTTTGTTCTCAAATGGGGGTCTCCATCTGCAGATTTTTTGGAGGGGAGGGAGACTGCAGATAAACAATTTTACTACTAAGGAATGAATAGTAAGACTTATCAGTAATTCCATAGGATTGAATGTAATCCTATGTCTTTTTTTCTTACTGAATAATTGCTTAGAGTTTTCCACCAAGCTATTTCTTTATTATCTTGGGTGAAAAATCTGTTCCTCTTTTCCATAAAAGAAAAATTGAAGTAAAATTATCCAAAGTACTTTTGAAATGGGACCCATATAGTCTATCTTACTAGAAGTTATTTGAGGCAGCATACAACAATTAAATAAAACAATATAAATACAATAATAAAAACGTTCATTATAAAAATAGGCACTCTTTATTAAAAATTAAAATATGATTAAAAATTTAAAGTATATACAAATGGGTAGATATATCGCAACCATGTGTTAATCATATTAGGGGAGTCACCATAAAATGTCACCAGTTTCCGTCGACTCCCAAATTTGGAGGTATAACCAGGTCTTGAGGGGCTTCCCAAACATTAACAGAAGTGTGTGTGTAGAATATTTCTCAAGATGGGTGCCACGGCAGAGGAAGCCTACTTTCTGGGATCCATCAAATGTTAAGTTCCTCAAAGATGATACCCAAAGCCTGTTCTTGTGACAAATCTAATGGGATGGGTTGATGTAATCAGGGAGATGCGCTCCCTCATATTCTGGTCCCATGCCATGAAAGGCTTTAAAGGTAAAAATCAGTACTTTGAATTGGACCAGAAGCAAATTGGCAGCCAATGCAGCTTTTGTAGGAGGTGTGTGACATGTGCTGTTCTGGGGGTACACATAACTGCCTTTGCCACTGCATTCTGCATCAGTTGAAGCTTCCAGATACTATGCAAGACCACGTCCTGTGGAAAAATCAGGTGGAACAGCAGCTGATGACTTCTTTCTATCGGTCTATGATAGAAAGTGTCCTCACATACTGTATGACACTATGGTACGCTTGTCTAATAGCTGCGGACAGGAAGGCACTACAGAGTGATCAATTTGGCACAAGAAACCATTGGTTGCCACTAGATGACATCGCCAGGTCTCGCTGTTTCAGCAGAGAAAGGAAGATATTTAGGGATGATTCACACCTTGGTCAGTGTCTCTTCGCACTTCTACTATCGGGCAGAAGATATCAAAGTATAGCCAGCCGGACAAACAGGTTTAAAAACATCTACCCATGGGCTGTCAGACTCTTAAACACAATCACGGAAACATATGACTAGTCTTTTTTCCCAATTGTATAGGAATTATTCTTTATACTATTTATGTTGTTTTGTATTTTCTGTTATGGGTTGCACCAGAGAGGTGAAACCAATTTTGTTATATACAGTATATGATGTACAACGACAGTAAAGGCTATACTATTTTACTACAATAGTCCAATCTCTTTTCCAGGTAAGACCCAAATCTAAGAAGTCAGTCTGGCCTTTCCTTTATCAAGGTTGGAAAAGATCATGTCAAGCAAAACACTCACATAATAAACTATAAAACTGAAATAAATAAAATTCTCTTTAGCAGGCAGTGATGCATGCAGCATCAGTTAAATCCAAGAATGATAGCATCTGTAATTAATAAAACTGCTCCATTATCTCTTATCTATTATTTCTTCCACAAAGTAAAATATCTTTTTCTCCTTTATTGGAAAGCTGTAGGTGTGCGATACAGAGCTGCTAATCACAATTTAACTATATGAAACTGTTTAAATTATGCTTAAATTTCCTATAAAATGTGAATTATCTAATCCATTATAAAAAAATAGCAACAAATCATTGTAAGTAAAGATTTTTTCTATGGTTACATCTTTATAACTGCTCTATCAACATTCTATTTTTTCCAAAGATTTGAAAAGGTTAATTGTTTTAATTGGTTAGCCAAAAGTGGTTCAGAGACCTTTTGTTTCTATAAATAGTCTCCTACCTTCTGCCAGTATCTATACTACATAAGAATACTTTAGAGTTATTATAAAATAAACAAATTAGGGTGTTTTCCTAATTTTGGACATGCAAAGAAACAGGGCTTTAAGCACAGATGACACCACTAGATGTCAGCCATGAACACTAAAATAAAATGGCTGAAAATCTTGTAATTGTTGGCCAGAAAGTGACCAACAATTACAAGTTTTTTGTGTTGCATGAGATCCTCTGAGATTGCAGTAGTTTAATTTTTTTCACTTTTTAAATTAGCACCCATTACATCATAACAAACTTTTATTATGATCAAAGACCAGCATAAACCCATATGAGGCAAGGGGTGAAATACTCTTGGTTTGGACCGGATTGCCTGATCCAGTAGCGATGCCCCCCCCTCCCCATGCCCAGCTGAGCCACGTGATCATTAGAGGCTTTTTTTTAAATTTTTAACAGCATTTTTTTCAGCTGAAGAGGTGGTAGAAAAAATGCTTTTAAAAGGTAAAATAAAAGAGTCCCTGACGATCACAGCTGAGCAACGCGCCACAGCTGATCACCCCCCCCACGCGCACTCTTCTCTTACCACATGCCTCTTTTGGCATGCACTCCGTGTGCACACCTCACATTTAGTACATGGTGCGCACTGCGCATGCGCAGCCAGCAAACTGGTAGTAAACCGGTTCAGATTTCACCATTGATATGAAGCAAAATAATGCATTGCTGTCCATTACCTAAAAAGCTTGATAATTTCTGCTAAAAATTAAATTTCAGGCTGCAATAAATTCAAATATTTATCTTTGAAACAACTTTGAAATAATGCTTCTACTGAACATCTAAGATATTTTTAAGACATTATTTTCACAAACTCTTAAACCCTTAAATACCTTGCAGCCTTAATTTTTAAACTAATCCGCTCCTTCCTGCACCTATTGTAATTTTCCAAATTAAATGAGGCTCTATTCAAAGTTTAAAAGTTTAAAAGATAGAAGATTTCACTTAAAAGCATTCACAGTAATACTGAGCTGTGATGTGGTAGACAGAGGAACTTTCAGATGAGATCATCATCATGAAATATGAAGTCATATGTTATCTAAAAATCTGAGAAAGACAGAGAGAAATCTTTTATGAAATTGTCTACGGTTTAGAGCATGAAGAGTAGACTTTCTATTTTGTAGAGATTCTGCTAAAACCAGAGGAAAAAAACCACACACTATTAAGAGCTCCTTAGCAAAAAGTTAACTACTATAGAACCTTCCTGGAGTTGGGCAGTTAATAACTGTGAATGAATGAATGAATGAATGAATGAATGAATGAATGAATGAATGAATTTCCTGCACAGCATAGCTATCTAGCTTTCTGAATTTCTATAGGATATGTGAAAGTATTAGTTCAATTTTTCCCTTCAAAGAAAAGAGAAATATCTCTCACAGAATTGTGAAGTCATCAGTTACATGTCTTCATTAATCCCTTCTTTAGTATTAGACATAATAAAGAATCCACAAAGGCCTCCATTATTCTCAACAAAGGGTTTCAACAAAGGAAATATTTTTGATTGCATGCAATGTACACAAAACAAGTAAAGATTGTCTTTAACAGAGTGCAGCTCCTGGTGACTGTTAAGGAAACAGCCAAGCATTTTTCTTGGCAATTGTGTGGAAGCTTGCCATTGCTTTCTTCAGGATATTTTTTTTCCAACTCCAATCTAGCCAACAAGCTTTTTCATAAAGAGGTAAAGAATCCTCATTATCCAGCTTGATCATAATCTTTATAACACAATCACTTGGTTTATGGTTTTGTTTTTGCTCACTGCAGGCTCAGGGATTCCGAATGAATTGTTAAAAATCCTAATTACACACTTCAACAGCCATGGGCATGTAATTAAATGGAACAATGTCATACTGTGATTAACAACAAAATACAATATTTTAACTGACAAGAAAAAGAAGATAATTGCAAAAAGGGAAAATAAATACACACATGCAAACCTAACAAGAACTTTTCCCCTGTAGTATTAGGAACTGAAGAATGCTTTTGGTTCATTTTCTGGCAATTTTTTTCAGCAATATATCTGGCCACAAAAATGGACTAAGATTCTTTAATTGCTGGAGCTTATTTTCTTCCTTGTCTTCTACTTGCTGCCTTGTAAACTGTTAAAAATAAGTCATTACAAGCAAAACCACAGTAAAGAAGCAGAGGGAGGGAAAATAGACTTAAATACCCAACAATAGCAAATTCACACATCTTCCCAGTACATATAGAAAAAGGTAGGTTTTTAAGAGAAAGTTTAAAAGGTAAGCTTTGCTATATCAGCCTTTTTATTAAAAAATACCAATATTATGTTAAAAAGCAAACTTCATTAATTGAATCAACGGAATCCACAGGATAGGACTAAACATGTCACAATGATACAATTAAAATTCTGTCCATTTTTAAAGCACATCACACACACCATACAGACACAAAAACAATTGGCAGACTTTGATTGCAGCCCTGCAGCTGTCATACTGACTTTTTTTTAACACATCCTGCAAATAATCTTGTAATGAGAGATGTAGGGATGGAACCAAATACTTTTTCGTCCCTGTGCTTGCTTTTGCCAAACATTACTGTTCCTCTGTAACTGTAATGTTCGAAACATGTTTATGAGCAGCCCTCTTTATAATACACCACCAGAGTATAATGTAGTGGCAGCTCAAAACACCTGGATAGCTCTGACCTGCTTCTATTTTCTATTGAAAGACACAGGAGAAAGAAATACATCTATTAGATTGCAGCTTTCACCTGAGAAGCTAAGACAAACTGTAAGCTAACAAGTACACCTGGCACCTACTTTCCGGGCCCTTTTTGGCCAGAATGGGACAACTACCCACAGCCAACTCACCTCGTTTAATTTGTCACAGCCAATTTGCCATGGCCAACTCACCACAGCTAATTTACTGCGAAACAACTTGACATGGCCAACTCACCACGGAAAAACTCGCTGCGGGACTATTTAAAAATTCAATTTCATTATTTAAAATAGTTTTAAACATATTTTAATTTTTGTCATTCACATTTCATTTTGTTCCTTTTTTGGCACCCCTTCTTTAATGATTCTATTCCACTATTTCTTCAATACTAACTCTTGTCCCGCAGCCAATTTTCCCGTGGCAAGTTGGTCATGGTGAGTTGGCTATGACGAGTTGTCATAGACCTATTTTTGGTATCATCCAGAGTCCTTCAGTCCCTTTACTATGTGCTATATTTTATGCCCCCATGTAGCTTAACACTGCATGGTGGTTAAGGAAGCCAAGTGGCACTGGGGCAACCAGGTTCTAGTCCAACTCAATCATAGAAATTCACTGGTGGCTTTGGGCTAGTTGCTTTCTCTTTCAGCTGGTCTTATCATATAGCATTGTTGTGGGGATAAATGGTAAGAGGAAGCACTATGGACACTGCCCTGAGTTCCTGAACAAAACTAGGATATACATTTAACAAAGAAATATCACAAAAGCCTTTTGGAGTATTTCTTGTTTTGCTATTTTAGGTGCCTGTTTTAATGACTAACCTTAGTTTTTATTATATTTATTTATTATCTAGTTATTGGCACTCCCAACTTGAATAAAACAATTAATATATTAATATATTGTTGTGTAAATTTCCTTTAATCCAAAGATCTAGAATTTATCCCCTAAAGAGCATTAGAGATTTCTGAAAAACCAAATACTTGTTCTACTTTATAATCATGCACTTAAAAGAGTTGTTTTCAAAGTACTTAAATATTTCATGATGAATAATACATTTTGACAGATTTAAATTATGTTTACTTAGACTGATTGTATTAAGTTGTTGGCTTTTTTAAACTAAAATCTTATTCACACCATAAACATATGAACATTTTGCTTAGAAACAGAAATATAAACATACGTTGCTATTTGCCCAAAGTACTGTTGAATACTAGATATGTTTAACTCATTTGATTCAAACAAATGGCTACTGCACAGCTGTCAGAAATGGTGCATCAAGCATGGCCACATAACACAATATATTATGCACCTTTTCTTCATCCACATTTCATTATGCTTACCCTGGCATTTTATATTTTTCAGTTCTCTCAGAACTGGTGTGGACTTTTCCAAATAACAAGTCAACCTACTATGACCCATAAAAAGTCAACCTTTGTGACTTTACCTCTAATTAATTGACATTCTAAACCCACGATGGCGAACCTATGCCACGCGTACCAGAGGTGGCACGCAGAGCCCTCTCTGTGGGCATGCACACCATCACCAGCTGCTCTTGTGGTTTCTGGCACACGAGTGCTGGTAACCGGAAGACCAGCTGGCCAGTGCGCAGGCGCACGCTGGCCACCTGGTCTTTGGGTTTCCAGTGCTCCAGCATGCATGAAGACCAGCTGGCATGCGCGCACCAGATACCCAAATACCAGGTAGCTGGCGTGCACATGTGCTTCAGTCAGGTGGTCTTTGAGTTTCCGGTGTTCTGGTTGCCCCGCATGCTCGCACCCATGCACACACATTCTGGTTTGGGCACTCGGTGCCAAAAAAGTTCACCATCACTGTTCTAAACATAGAGGGAAATGTTCACTAGTCACCTAAAATTCTTTCTCTCATTTAATTTAATATTTCAATTTTGAGGCTGTGTGACTCCACAGTGATTCTGGGTGGCTCACAATTAAAAGAGAATTAATAGGAACACACATCTATCAAAGAAAGAGAGTATAAGAAAATTACCCGTGTTTTTTTGCCCTTGTCATATAAATTTAGATACATCATTTTGCCATTGTTTAAATGGTAAATGTGTTGCCAAAACAAGTATTGTCTGAAACAAAGCACCATTCTTGACAAAACATTC